GCAAGAACGGGAGATCGACGGTAAGAAGATGCGCACGACTTGGAGCCGCCGGAATAAGGAGGACGAGGGTAGGAATGAATCGATCTGCTCAAGTGGCAGTCCAGAGGAGTTTGAGGCACTATGGCAGCAGACTCCATTTGGCGAGGCACAGAAGATGAAGGTGAAGGGGGAATTGTAGTCCGAGTCGGATGTTTGAGAGTGAGGTGGCGTCAACGGCAGCAGCACTGGAGCATGCCACAATGGAGGAAGCAGTAGAAATATCGAAATCGTCGGTGACGAAGGAGAAAAATGCATGCACGGACAAAGATGAACCAGAATGAAGGAGAATGAAGAGGATTTGTAGAGAAGTTAGCGATAATTTGTAAGTTCGAATATTGATTGGGTAAGTGTTTTCCAAGCCATCGTTCCGTCTATTGTTTGTCGACCATCAAATATTAATACTATTGCTGTGATTGAGTTGGGGTCTAAATTTATGTTTTCGTTATTTTGGGATTAAGAGTCCTTGTTGTTCCACCGTTTCCATTCTTCTTTAAAAGTGAACAGATCAAACATAATGAGGTCACATTCCGTCAGAGATTCTTCTTCATTCGACAAACACCCAGTTGGAATTACGATGGCATCGGCAGGGAAAGCAAAGAAGCGTGTATTCACGCCATCGAACCAGGTGAAGAAAAAGAACAACAAACGTTTATCCAGCCTACCCGATGTCTCTGTTCCGAGTGATTCTAGTACTGGGCGTTTTAGCCTCATTTTGGAGGTGGGAGCTGCTTCCATCTGGGAGTTTATATCTTCAGAAGATATTAATACTCTTCTTCAGACATTCGCTGGTGCTTTCTCGAATGATCTCGTTGGCAAGGTAAAAGCGATACAATTATTCACCGTGGAAAACAAGACCCACTTGGGCGGCAATGTGAGTGTGATAGGATGCGTAGACTCGATTTCGTCCCTTGTTCGGACGATAAGTGCATTGATAAGTCACCCTATATCTTGGATAAGAGTTTGCCGATTCTCCAAGTTCCAAGGGGACCACTAGCTCTTTTAAGCGCGCTGATGCTGACTAAGAAACTGAAGGAGTGTCTTTGTCCGAACCGTTCAGGAGCTGCCACGTTTGTTCCAGTTGTCTGCCCGCTTGTGACGAGAAGCTCAGTCTATTAACATGCACGGACGACATGGTGAAGCAAGTGATGAACCGAATTTTCCACGGTTCTGGATCACGCTACTTCCAAACATTTGAGAGGAAGAGGGGTGCAGCTTGTCTGGACTACCTGGACTACTACTGGGACGGGATGGATGTGACGCATCCTTACCCAAGGTTACGGTATGTCAGAGGTTGTGACTCAACACAGACATTTTAAAGGGATTATGCGTTTTTTCTGGGGAATAAACCGCAACCAATCGGCACCACTTCTGACCACATCCCACCACTTTTGACCACTTTTTTTGCCGCTCAGATCCCCGATATCTGGCTGGCAGACACATATTCCGGGAATAACTACACCCTTTCCCGGCCAAACTACAAATTTTACCAACCAAACTGCAAAGTGTGAAAGAATGGTGTTTTGTGTGCAATCACAAAAAGTGCATTTTTCATGTTTTGCAAACTGGATGGGTACACTTTTCAAGCAAAATGCAAACCAGTCGTTTTGGCGCGAATTGCCAGTTGCTTCCGCGCCAACCGCGCCACACGAGTGCGCTTTTCCGCTCATTTTAAAAGATGTCATCCCCCACAACCCAACAAAACCAACCGCGCCTTCGAGCGAGCGCAAGCCAAGGCCCGCGTCGTCCGTGCCTTCCAGGAGAACCCGAATTGGAGGGATGTTGCCAAGGCAAACGACGTCAACTATTTTACAGCACGCCGGGCTATCCTTTGTGCTGGACAGGAGCATAAGCAGCGCGACGGCTTGCGCCAAGCTTCTGTAAAGATGACTGTGGAGGTGATGAGCAACATCGAAGGACTTCTCGACGAGGACTGCCGCATGACGCTGGAGCAAATGTCTGCCCGCTTGCAAGCCGAATTGGGCGTTATTGTCAGCAAGACGTTCATTCATTGCGCCCTACAGGGCATGCTGTTCTCGACGAAGCGTTTACGCATTGAGAAGGAGACCACGAACTGATCCGCTAACAAGGAGAAGCGCAAGACCTTTGTCTTGGAGCTGAACAAGCACATCAAGAAAGGTAACATGATTGTATTTCAAGATGAAACTAATT